ACGTGCTTTATTTCAGTAAAAAAAAAATCAGTTATGCCGACATTATATATTAAAAATATATCTTTAAAGTAATATGATACTATTGTTTGATCAATTATACATACATATATTATGTTGACTTTAAACCTAATTTATAAAAAGGTATACAGTTGCTTAAAGACTATTCCCTGAGTGTAGTTGTAAATCTAGTTAGATTGGATTGTTTTTTTTGAAATGATGATGACTACATAGAAATGCATTTTATAGGACCACCAAGATTTTCAACCTTTCTTGTTCCTCCCAAAGATTTTTTGAATAATGAATGACAAATCTTTTCTCTTGTGAGGCCCACAACACAGGATCTCCGTAAATGGAGGATAAAAAAAGGTTGAATTTGGAACTTTTATTATTCAAATTATGCTTTAGTTAACGTTTATTGATTATGTTGGATCATTAATAATAGTTTCAATTTTAACTATATGTTTCTGTTCATTTTTCTTCTCCTAATTTGATATTTATAGTCTTGAACTTTTTATAATAAGATGTTGTGATAGTTTATACCTATTCTTAAATTTAGTTTGATTTGTATTATTTTTTATTTTAGTTATTTTAAGTTTGTTTTATCTTTAATATTTTTGTTATTTTTGTGTGTGAAATAAATGAATAAGAAGTCACTCTAATTTAGACAAACAAATAAGAACTCAAAAAATATGTTTTAGATAAGAAAATATCAATTTGAAATAAATATTTTTATCATACACCACTGGATAAGACATAGTACTCCAATTATATATGTTGTCATACTTAACAAATAATAAATATTATTCTCTTATAATGGATTTTTGCAACATATGACAATTGTCGCGTTCAATAACTCAAATAGACAGTATTTTATCACAGGTGGTGTGTAACAAAAATTTAGCATGAAGTATTTTATACATGTCAAAATTACATTCTTTTATATTCACACATATCTCAATTTGAATTTTATGTTAAAATCAACTTACAATAATATTTAAATTCTATTGATAAATTCAAATTTCTTAAATTTTAACAAAATAATGCATTAAGTTCAAGAGAATATTTGGAATACCAATAAATCATGTTTTATCCTTAAATATATGCCCATTAGTCTATGAATGGTCAAATCAAATCCAACATTAAGTAAATAACTCCAAACAGAAGTGTATATTAAAAAAAAACTATTTTAGAATTTTTGTTAATTCAAAGAGAAGATTTAAAAAAAGTGTTTTAGAACAAACAAAAATATCAAACTTCTAAAAAAAGAATGTAAAGGAATAGAGGGAAAATAACAATAGCTTTTAACAGGTTCAACAAAACAAAATATATGGAAAAAAAAGCAAGATAAATTTTTATGTACAAAAATAGGGAAGAAGCAATCAATGTAAATAAAAAAAATTAAAATTAAAATCTAATTTATTTTTTAAATTCAAAGTTTAAATCATTTTATAATGCAGAGTAACCCAATACCCAATAGTCCTTGAATAATTAAATATAGTAAAAATAAGTAACCCACATGTTCAAACATTTTAGTTAGAGTATAAAATTTCAAAAGTTCCACAACCATGTTAAGGAAATAGCAAGGTAAAGACAAAATTAAATATCATAATACAAAACTTGCACATGTATTGAAATATAATTATGCAATGAATCATGTGCATTTTCCAGTCTTGGTGGAAATATATGTATGTTCAAATCACATTTTGCAGCAGACATAGGGTTGAGGTCATGAATGACTAAAATTGACCCTTATATATATAACGTAGCAAACTGAGGAGCTAATCACGCCAGTTAAATAGGTATTTGCATTTGCAAACTTATTCATTTTTCACAATGAATAAAATAATTGTCTACTGTCCTTTCAAAATATATGAGAGAATTTCATATCATTTAATATAAATTTGGTTGTGGATTTTATATTTTTTGAAAAATATCAAAATATTGAATTTAATTGTTTGTCCTTTCGATTTCAGTAATTTTTTTAATTGTTTTTCTTGACAAGACAAATTGAATTTATTGATTTCTTTTGTTTGAATGGAGTATTAAAATCATCACTAAATACAAAATTAATAACACTAGTTATGATGATAAAAAAATTAAAAATAATCAGAATAGACTTTAACTAAAAGATTCTTAGTTGTTATTGACCATAAAATAGTTTTATCAACATTAATTATTAATCGAGAAAATCTAACAAATATCAAACAACAACAAAAAAAAATGGCTTATATATCGATGTGTAAGTAACTTTAGTAACGTCAACAAGTAAAAAAAATCTTAACTTATATAAGTTGAAGAATATTTTCACTAATATCTATAATTGTCATCAATAGTATTATCAATATGGGTGTTTCATCTTATACCTTCAAGAGTTCATCCTGAAACTCCAAAAATTCCAGTTTTAACCTTTTAACATCTCATTCTCATCTTACGTTTCTAACTTTTTCAAAAATTTCAATTTAATTTTAATAAATATTTATCATTTTGTTTTCTTTTTATTTAGAACACTCTACACCACCTTAATAATAATTTAATTTAAAATTCAAATAATATTTAATATAATTTAATATTTTAATAATTATTAAAATATGATTTATATTATAATAATAATTATATTAAAAATATAAAAATAAAATAATTAAAATAAAAATAATAACAATAAAAATAAAATTATATTAAATAAAATATTGAATATATTTAAATATATTAAATTATATTAAAATATTAAATTAAATTAAATAATTATTAAAATTTAAATAAAAAATAAAATTTTAAAAATAATTACTTATCGGATATCCATATCCGTAAGGTAAGTTATCGGATTTCTATATCCGATTAAGAAATCTTTTCAAAATTATGTTTTCTTTAGATTTTAATAATTATTGAATTTAATTTAATATTTTAATATAATTTAATATATTTAAATATATTAAATATAATTTTAAATATTATTTTTATTTTTATTATTATTATTTTTATTTTAGTTATTATTATTTTAATTTTTTTAATAAAACTATTATAAAAATATAAATTATATTTTAATAAAAAATATAATAAATGATATTATAATTTTAAATTAAATTAAATTAAATATTTATTAAATTTTAAATAAAAAGCAAGTTAGCATATTTCACTGATCATGGAATAAACAAATTTTTTAAAATTTTGGTTTTTATTTAAAATTTAATAATTATTTAATTTATTTTAATATTTTAATAAAATTTAATATATTTGAATATATTAAATCAAATTTATTATTCTTATTTTTATTAAATTTTTAAATTTTATTTTAATTTTAATTATTTTATTTTTATATTTTTAATATAACTATTATTATAATATAAATCCTATTTTAATAATTATTAAAATATAAAATTATATTAAATAAAATTTGCATTTTAAATTAAATTAAGTTATTATTAAGGTGGTGCAGAGTGTTTTTAATAATAAAGAGAAGAAAATGAAAAAAAAAGATATTTATTAAAGTTAAAAACGAAACTTTTGAAAAAGTTGGAGGTGCAGAATGAGATGTTAGAAAGTTAAAAATGATATTTTTGAAGATGTAGGGTGAGATGTTAGAGGTGTAGGATGAAACACCTTATCAATATTGATTGAGACAACCTTCATTACGGTTAGTAAAGAGATATTCTATGTCCTGATTGTGATTGACTCTAGTTAATAAAATTTCCAACTTGTATCAATTAAAAATAATCTTATCAATAAAAAATATTATATTTGACAACAATAAAAAAAACACAACTAAATAATAATGAAATTTTGATTATCATTAGCTAAAAGATATTATTGACTTGTATTAACAAAATGAGTAACATTAGTGACCACCACCAAAAAATAATCATAATCAATTTATGTTAAAATAAATCCTGAAAAATGATGTTGTATATATCCCAACCTCAACCCAAACAATAATATCCGATTGTAACCAAGCTTAAGAAAGAATGTAAAAAGAATAGACACAAAATTTAGAAAATAAATAAATTCTTCTTTTAAGATGAAAATTGGAATCTTTTAATTTCAAATATCCAAATTAGTCTCACAAATTTATAAGACTTTATTTTTCTTTAATTTTTCCTAGAAGTAAAATGAAATAAAAATTTCAGATGAAATATTTATAAAGACTAAAATTGCTTTTACCAGTATGCAATAATAAAATTATAAAATAAAACTTGAAAACAAAAATTATAAACGCAAATAACAATAAGAAACAAATCCCTAAAAAATCATTAAAATAAAACATCTCTCTCCCGTAGTCTTTTCTATACACACAGCTTGAGATAAATGATTGATTATCATGCTTAAACAACATGTGTATTTTTTGTCATCAGTGCCATGCTTTATTGGATGTAGACATACACTTCTTCGTTAATAAGCCATGTTTAAGACTGAATCAAACAAATTCTTATATAGCCACTAATACTGGCTCTTAATTAATTGAACAATATATTAATTCACTTTGAGCATAACATATGTTTTATACATTTTATCATGCTCATGAATTGCCTTCTATGTTGTTCCAAATTTTCTCTTCGCTTATGACTTTTAAATTGTGGATTATAAAGCATTAGAAAAAACTCTCTTTTGAATTTTTTTAACAAACTTCCCTATAAATACTTTTAGAAAAAGGAAAGATAAAAAATAAATAATTAAATACTTCCAAAGCGATGACAGTAACATTTTCATTTCAAATACAAACTACCGTCTAAAAAAATAGATACCTCTATTGTGCAGTAACATAATAGCAGAACCATGCGAAAACGATATCAACGAACAATAGGCCACCAACTTCACACGCAAATGATTGAAATACAATAAATCTCCGGCAATTCATTCAACTCGAATTACATTTTGAAAACAAAATTGCCTGATAAAAAAAAACCGAAAAAACCTCAAGTACAAACAAGCAGCCTAAATTGTGGCCATTTCATCTATGCACAAATATTGCTACAACAATGCATAAAAACTGAAAAGGAACCCTCCTGTTTGAAAAGAAAACCAATGGATTTCTAACCAAAATTACAAATAAACCTTGCTATATTACAACATTCTTTACAATTTTATGAAAATATATAACGATTAGTAGGATGAAATGAATCTTATTGTCTCTGACCTTTGACCAACAAAGAAAAGGCTATTGTTTGACCTATTGAGCTCTAATCAAAATGCATCACAGCCCTTGATGGGGCTCTTGTTTTCAAGAGCATCTCTTCATACTCGTCTTCAGGGTTTGAGAGAGCAATAATCGCCCCTCCAGCCCCTATTGAGGCTTCACTCTCATGTAGAATGACAGTTCTTATGACAATATTGAGATCAAATGTCTGATTGTATGAGAAAAATCCAATACAGCCTGAGTAGATACCTCGTGAACAACTCTCAATAGAATCAAGAATTTCCATTGATCTTAACTTGGGTGCACCTGTCATTGAACCACCGGGAAATGCAGCTTTGACACAGTCTACAGCACTGACATCTGACCGCTTCTTCCCACGAATTGTACTCACCATTGTGTGAACGGTTGCATATGATTCCACATCCATGAGACGCGGCACATGAACAGAACCAGGATCACATACACGACCAAGGTCATTCCTTAGAAGGTCGACAATCATCAAGTTTTCAGCCTGATCCTTTTCGCTGAAAGAGAAAGCAACTTAGTTCACAATAGATTCACCCAATTGAAAGAAAGCATTAAAGACAATGTCAAGTAATTCCAAAATTCAAAATGAAGCTGTAGAAACATTTGTTAAGATAGTGATGTGTAGAACTAAATATAGGTCACCTGAACTGTAATTTTAATTTCAGCTGTTCATCTTCCTTTTTGGTAGCACCACGACCTATTGTACCCTTGATGGGCTTAGCTTCTAGTGTATTCTTCCTATCCAACTGCAGGAACCTCTCGGGAGAAGAACAGCAAATACACAGGTCCTCCTTTGAAAAATTAAGCCAAGCAGCATATGGTGCTGGATTCCTTTCTCTCAAATGCAGATACAGCCCAAGAGAATTTAATTCCTTAATTGGCTTCTTCATCTGAGTTGTGAGGCATAACTCATAGCTTTCTCCATCTTTAATGTAGTTTAGACACTTCTTAACATCCTCAATGTACTGCTCTCTAGATTTTTCAGCAGCAAAACCAGCCTTGTTTGAGGAAAGTGTTAAATAATGAGAGTTCTGTTTTCCCAAAGCCATTTTCACAGAGCCGTCTAAGCTCAGAAGTTTCTCCTCTGTGTCGTCCAACCACTGTGTAACACTTGAACTTTCTTCGTGTATAGCCAATATGTAAACATCGTCATTTTTGTGGTCAATGACCACAAGATTATCAGCAAAGAAAAAACATGCATCTGGAGTTTTAGATTTGTGAAGGTTAGATTTGACACCACATTCTACTTTGAGGTCATACCTGCAACACAAGAAACCGATTATTTGTCTAGTATTGGTTCATTGAAGAGATCACGTTGGAATTACAGACTTTTAGATGGTCAAAACAGAAATAACTTCCCTTCTTAAGTATATTTTGCAGTAACACACATATTAAGAAATGATGCGTCAGTGTTACACATGATACAAAACATGAAGTACTTGCCCTTATTTATATTGATACTAAACTATAGTCCTGATTACATAAAGATACAAATCAAAAGACAATAAAGAAATATTAAAACTAATTCTGAGAGGTGATCTATATACCTAAATTATTCTGAAGGTAGATTGATTGATACAATCGATATAATGTCAGATATTTCTCATATGTTCTAGCATAAATTTACATAACAATATCGTGCAAGTAAACATACTTAGCGAGAGAAACCGTAACATCCAAAATACCAGAATGATAATCCATAATATTTCAAACTCTATAAATGGTGGGTTGTCATATTATGACAATAAGAGATAATTACCTAACTTAACATAAGATTCAAACTAAGAACATAAAATCAGAGAAACGAAGCAGGACAAGAAAGAGTAGCTATAATACCAACAAAGCAGAAGTAATAGCATCATATAAAGATACAATTAGGAGAAATTGTTAGACATATGCTTAAGCGTTTAGGTTTATTCAATTTAGAAATATAATTGCTTATCATTCCCACCTACCCAATGTAACCAACATATCCACCGTGAAAGTCAAATGGTAGGCCTTCATATTCATTTTTATCATAACGATATGATAAAAGCTCCTGCAACATTATAAAGGCAACATTTTTATGTGGTAGAAAGGAATAGAAAAGGGAAAAAATTGAATATACTGTTAGAGAAATGAATATGAGGTCTATCATGATTGGGAAGATCAAAGTAGTTGGTAAATCATTTAAATATGGACCAAGAAAATATACAAATGATAACAAACAAATCGACCTTTTTTTTATCTTAACCCTGTTTACGTCATCCTGAATCCTACCCCACCCTCTTTCCTTTCTTAATTTCATCTCTAGTCAAAGCATAAATCACTCAAAGCGATAAATGGCATTGCATTGGTCTAGATGACCAGAGAAGGGAGAATAAGAATCTTTTTTGTATTATCTGAATATTTGCTTTATTAGCATGTGTTCTGTTTAGAATAAATCATTTAGGATTAAAAAATCATAAGAGAAAATCAGGGTAGCAAAGCTTGGGAAGGATAAGATATCCTCCAAACTATAGAAATTATATATACATGCATTAAGGATTAATTATCTCAAAAGCTTGACCTGTTATGTAGAAGTCCATTAACTCTTTTATATCCAAAAAGTCCCTTGATGCAAAAGCCTTTCAGGCTTGAAGCAAAGACAAGAATAGCAAGTTTTTCCCTTGCGTTATTTCAACTAACTTATGAAAAATGAGGATAACATAGAACTTCTGACAAAGGTTAGTATCATCTCAAAGACCAATTCTACTAGAAACTTTAATTGCTAGGAAGAAGCAAGAACTATGTCTAAGTTTAACAATAAGGTGTATCCTCGTTGAGGAATGTTATGCAAGGATAAACCATCATAAGACCAACACAGTTTCAGTCTGTATGTACCTTGTTCAGAAAATCAAGAAAACCTTCTTTCAAAAATATCGTTTCCGAAGAACCTTGACAATCTTCCAATGACAAATAACCACCGCCTTTTGAACTCCCGTCACTGGAAAAGGTTACATAGTGATAGAAATACTTATTATCCTGTTCATGCATCAATAAAAAAAATAGTGCAACTCAACTCTTACAAGCATACAACAGAACACAAGCACACCACTTATTTTGAAGAAGCCCATTCACCAACACCTCATAAAAAACATAATTAAAAAATAAATAAAAGAATGTAAAACAGAAAAAGAAATTAACAGTTGACAGGATTGATTCCAAACCTTTGATGAGACAATCTGAACGTTAACTGCTTCCAAAGCGGTCCGCCTTTTCCTCCCATAAATGAAAAGCGTGCTCTTTCCTGAATAGGATGGAAAGAATAACAAATATTTGGTAATTAGCAGCATATAATGAAGCTTTTTATCTCAATAAGACGAGATGCTATGTCGCTCGATTATTACAGTTTCAAGATCGAAGTGAAAATAGATGTATGTATTGTGCATTACAAGCATGAGATAATAAAAGGTGTCTTCAACTTGAAAACACTGGAATACCTTCTCTGTGGAGGAACTATCCAACCAAAAGGTGTTTTCAGTTTCATGTCCAAACAACTCACAAAATATACTTTCTGCTCCACCAACTTGACCAGCCAAGTGACCAAATTTCCTCCATTTCAACTTCAAACATTTATAACCAGTGGTTGCATGATGAGTATTTACCATGTTGAACATTTCTAAATGCTTCATCTCAGTTTTATTATATTCCAAATGTCTCTCTGCATGAACTATTCTTTTTAACTGATCCACTGCATTGTTCTCTGCACTAATACTACTGCAAACCTCTATTACGTTTGAAAGCTGCATGCATGCTAAAGAAAGTTTACTGCTCGGGTAAATTACACAGAACTTATACATTTGAAGGCCAAAGAAAATTGAAAATAAAATTATGGAGCATGTAAACATTGTTAAAAGGATCGGACCCTAGTTGGGGAATAAAAAAACTGGGATACAAGATAAAACTTACTATTTGTGTCAGAGTATTTCTTTCCCAAAAGAAGTCTACGAAATTGCTGAAAAGGGAAAGCGACATACCCAATAAATAAGCAATTATTACTCCCAAATTAGTATCTAGACAAATGCCCCTCCATTCCTTAATACAAGTCACTATTATCTAGTTCGCACGTACAAAGAATTTGTTAAAATTAATATTGTTAAATTAGCAAAGGTTATCCGAACTTTCCAAAATTACCCTCATTTAAAAATTCATCAATTCTATTAATTTCTATCTCCACTTTAGTTATCTTTTAACCCTCCTCTCAAAATATGATTAACCTACTCTACAAAATTATTTACCTCTCAATAGTTTTTCAATTAAAAAAAGTTTGAAAATTTTCACTCAAGCCCAAAAAATCTGAAATTTTGGTTCCCAAAGGACACTTCAAAAGAAGTAAAGATATATCAGAATAAATTCTCAGTAATTAAACATCTTTCATGCGTTGACAACAAAGAGAATAAATTTTAATAACAAAGCTCTTCAGTTTACCATCAGAATATGCATGTTTTTCCTTGAAAGATGACCTAAATCTCAGCCAATAATCGTCTGTAATCTCTCTAAAATTTTTGAATATTTGACTTCCGTAGCAGGTTGCAACACTTTCAGGATGAAACTGAAGATCAAAATTGTTAATTTAACAAATAATGAGTTAATATAAACGTAAAGGAAATATTATAGGCAGATTGTTTGTGTAACACACCTGCACACCATAGTGTGGTCTTGAAGAATGCCGGATTCCCATAAGAACTCTTCTACTTCTGGTATTTCCATAATCAAAATGGTTTGAACTTCCATTTCCTACTTTATCTAAAAAAGGGTCAACGAAAATGCTTTGAACTTTTTGAGCTTCATGAACGTTGGACTTGCCTAAATCTTTGGACCCAAGAAATGGAAGTGTGCTAGTGGAAGAGGTCCATGCTATTGGAATGAGCTCTTTAGGAAGTGATTCAGAATCTATAACCAGTGAATGATATCGAACCACCTGAAATATGCGACTAACAACAAATATGACTATGATGGTAGATCAGATACATTTAAAATTTTGACAAAAAAACAAGAAATATAACAGGAGAAAAGGGATAAACAAATATTTGCGAGAGATTGTCTAGCATTTTGTAACTTTAGATGAACGATCATGTCACTGCATCAATATTTTCAGATAATATCAACTAATTATTCACTTACAAAGCCATTAGCTCAAAATTCCAATTATGGAAATGGACTACAAATCAAATAAAGTGCTTTTAGTTTGGAAAATGTTTTAGAATTGCTGTGAATGGATCCGTTTTTCAATTAAATTGACTTGAACACAGGTTATTTTGGGCAAATGGCCAAACACATCAATAACAAGTTCATAGCAACTTCAACCTGTATTCTTACAAATATGTAGTGGTGAACAAACCTTGAAACCATAATTTCTGCCAGAAGGTATATCACGAAAAAGCTGGCAGCCATTGTGCTCAACTTCACTGTAAAGTACAAAGAGTTAGTTGAAAGAAAAGGGAAGGATGCCTATGATAACTTTAAACGATACTTTTAAGGTATATTTATTTTCATGAATGTTGCAATTTCATAATAAGTACTGGAAAAAATATGGTTTTGAAATGTTTAGCCATACCTCAAACGACCATGGATTGGTTCAGATGCATGGATTATTTGAGCTCCATGCACATAACCTAATGCCTATGACATCATAGATTAACCAATTAAATAAGAATATAATTTAAACAACAGTTATGAAAAACAAAATTATGACAAATATAATGAATCAAAAGGATGAATTTGCAACAGGTTTAAGTCTAATATAATACTTGATAGCAGAAGACATGACAACACAAGTTATGAGAGCGATTTATGAAAAATGATAGTCAATATAAGGCATTTATGAACAAGAGTTGGTCCACCATATTACCAAAACATTGACCATCATCATCAAGCATAATGAAGCTAGTACACTGCTTACATACTGCTGAAGATACCATCTTGACAGAGCATCATATATCAATATATACAGGTACAACTACAACTTTTTTCAAAATTAAAAAGAGTGTATCATCTTAATATTCTTTAACCCAATTAAATGATCATCATAATGTTTTTTCTCCATTTTCTTCTTGATTATATCTCTACCATAACAAACGAGTGAATGGAATAAGATTTTTATCCTGTTTTAACATAAAATCATATTAACCAAATACTTATTCCATTCCGAGCTGTCCAAACTCCATTCCTTCAATAGACTTAGAATACTAATTAATCTTCAGAAGAAACATGAGATAGAGAAAACATCATGACACGAAGACTCTGTCCTAGTATGATTACATAATATAAAGGAAGGCTGTTAAGGGATATAAAACTGTTGTAAGTTAATGCAAGATCGGAATTCAAGAAATAAAATGAACTCTGCATACTATTAGCAGTAGAAATTGAAACCTTAAAAGTTATAAGATGTTCTAGAAATGAAGGAAGCGTCCATGTAAGGTTTGTGCAGAAAGAAAGCGAGTAAAAATCAACATTGGAGTAGGGGGAGAGAGGAGGCAGCAATCTTGCTGAAAAGAAAAGTAAGTACCTGGTGTCCTAGGCAAACACCAAGAATAGGAATATCCCAGCATTTAAGCAACAGCTGAAGACAAATGCCTGAACCACAACCGGAATCATTTCCAAAATTATTAAAGTATAAAAACCCTCCACACTTCAGAAAATAAAGATTAGGGTAACGTATCAAATTAAATAATATTATTAGATTCTGCAAACTAAATTAGGTGTCCTTTTAAAATAAATACTGTTGGACATCTATTGGGTGGTCCAACAACAAAATCTGGTAGATTCTAATACCACATTAGAATGAAGTGAGCTTAACCCAATTCCAAAAGAGGCTAATGGGGAGAAGGATCATCCAATTCTTACTAATAATTGTATTTTAGCCATATTTCTAATTATGATAGGACCTTTTAACACATATTGAAATCTGTAATAGAAGCAACTTAGTTTTCTGCTGCCTCTTTTGGAGCAATAAGTAAATGCAGTGAAATTATCAAATCCGTAAGGTCATCCATGATGCTTACCTATATCTTCCGGGCATGCTGGAGAACCAGGTCCAGGTGATATTACAATGTTATCAAAAGCATTTTCTTCATACAAGTAATGGCAAAGTTCTTCCCACGTCCACTCATCATTTTGGATCACCACAGGCGGGACTGACAAAAATGATAAACCAAACCAGCTGTTAAAAAGGACATAAACTCCTTACAAAGGTTCTTAAACCTTCCAAGATAGAGTATACTGTACAAGAGTATGAAATGTTCACAAAGATATTTAATAATTAATTATTCTAAAAAAATAGTGACACGCATGCAAACATATATACTTATCAATAGTATCTTACTATTTACATCTACAACAATTCTATTAACATTAACTCTTTGTGATCATCCAATAATTGGCCATTATAGCTCTATTTTTTAAGACTCCAAGTTAAAACCACATTATGTTGAACAGAGAGGTTTATCAAAATGGCTAGTTAATACATTGTCACAAGCAGGTTTACTCACTGCATTTTCAACACAATAAACTTTTTACAAATTCCGTACAGTTCAACATTGGAGAAGTAATTTATGACTACAATTTCTTTTATAGAGTCCTTTTTAAGAAAAAGGCAATTCCCTGTTAGATTTTACTATTAGACTAGGAAAACAATATTTTGCAAATTGTCTTCTACACAGATCCACATTAAAGTGAGAAACAGAGAACTTACCACCATTAATAACAGATAGTTCCTGGTATATATTGTAAGTGTAACTATCATAGTTGTCAATCAACAATGTCCTCACAAAGTCTGCCTTCTGTAGAGGCACATGCAGCCTTCTCTTTCTTTCATACGACTCCTCTTTGTGACTATGCATCAATTGGCAAGAAACCTCAGCGTTAACGTTCTTTCCATCTTGATTAGATGCCCCAACATCACCACCTTTCTTGACTACACAAGAAACCCTTAAGGATGGTCTGGACAGAAGAAAGTTCACATTCGTGTATTGCATGCATTCACTTGCAGGACATGCGAGCTCCGAAGGAAACAAACGCAAAGACGA